ATAAGCTCTGAAAGCGCGACTTCCCATAACCCATCAAGGTCTATCGCCCTGGCTAATAAAGTTGTAAAATTCCCTGAGCAGTTTTTTGGGTACAAATCGTGGGATGCCGTCGACGGCAACGTTAAGTAGAAGCTCATTTTAGTTCGTCTGCGTTTTCCCAAGAGTCATACGCTGGGCCGTAGCCATACCACCGTATTAAGTACTGCTTTTTACCTTTACGCACGCGCTCCCTTAATATCCGAGAGATTCTGTGGAACGGCCTCTCTGTCATTACAAACTTCGACAGTTCAGACGCATAGAAGGTACCATCCACAGGCTCACCGGCCAGATCTTCAATAGCATATAAATGGTGGCTATGTTGCAGTACTTTAACCACTTTAAAAATTTCTTCTGTATAATTTGTTTCATAACCTTTTTCAAAAGTATTTTTCTTTTTAGCTATTCGGACATGGTCTCCAACAGCAAAAGTGGGAGCTTTACGTTTCTGCTGGTCAACGAGCATGCGTTCTAAAATTACATTACTTTCCTTGACCCCAACAGCACTTGGAGCATATCCTGTAGCTGAATGTTCAGCGTTGTTATACCCCAACATGATCTGTGGTAGCACTTCCAAGTAGCGAAAAGTATTATTTTCTGTCATGTAAACGTACAGGCGGTTTTTGATTGTGCGGTTAAGGCGTTCCACCATTGCACATTTGACATCATCATTCCTCGTAGTGAAGATATTGACATTACACTCTGTGAAAAACTTCCGCATTTCACGTCCAACAAATTCTTTCCCGTTGTCACTTTGGCAACGCAAAGGCGGGCCACACTGTTTGTAAATTTTGCTCAGCGCACCAGCGATTTCAGTCGGCCTTTTGATTTCACTGGTTCTGCCCAGCCATACCTTGAAAAACAATCTATACATGTCAAAACATAAGCTAATACCGTCGTTCTGTAAGCGAAATTTCTGCATATCCATTAAATCAATTTGATGTTGGTCACCTACATTAACTGATAAAATTTTTCTTCTTCTAAATTTTGACCTGTATGGCTTATGTTGCGTGTAAGCATCTTTAGTTTGTAAATACGATTCAACTTGCTCATGTGAATAATTGTGCTTTTGTGCTTCTTTATACAATCGCTCGATACCTCCTAAGCTGCCGGGGTTGGCAGCATCTAAGTAAATTTCATCCAATGTCGGCATGTTTTTTTTTACGCAAATGTAAGCCAACCGCCGTTTTGCGCTGTTCGTTGCTTTTTTCTTGGTGGTCCGTAAAATTTTGTTGGCGCCCTAGCAATTCTTCTCCTATATGCGGTAGGTTCTTGTGTTTCGTCTGTTACTGCAGCTACATCTTCCTGCGATGGTTTGTACGTTATTGCTTTTGACTACCCTTGAATCGGCAACACGGTTGGTAGCGCAGACCCTTCAATAGCCAATCGCGGGATTTGATTGGGGCAAAGCAGTTTGCTTACGAGCGCTTCGACGTACTGCAATTTTGTTAGAAGGTTGCGAAGGTCCTGTAACGGCCAACTGTGGAGATGCGTATGGCAGTGCTGCATTTTTACGTTGTAACGAAGTTTTTTCTGGATTAAAAGCGAGGGTTTTTGTTTTTGTACTTTGTGAAAGTGCAGGTGTGTCGATTGTTTCGTACTCCAAAATCCCGTCAGGTGGAAACTCGATAATTGGTGGTTCCTGGGGAGTCTCTTGTGTTAAACTCGGTGGGGTGGGCGCATATTCAATTACAGGTAAATTGGATCGAGCGGTTGCCGCTTTCCTTGTTCCAACCTTTTTCTTTCTTATTACGCGGCTGTTGGCTGATTTATACACATGCTTTACCAGAGTCCGTGACGGTGTGGGTACATATTGAACAACTGGGTCGCTTTGAACAGGGGTGGGTACATAATGCACGACAGGATCAGCCGGAACAGTAACATACTGCACCTGCGGTTCGCTATGAATATATTCAATCTGGGGTGGCATACTAGCTTGGACTTGCTGGTCCGTGGTAGTACGTACAGCTTGCACACCGCGACTGTCGTAAGAAGGACCGGCTTGAAAGTACGCATCATGTGTAAGTGGTTTCGCTTCGGTAAATTTAGATGCTGTTAATGGTTTCTGCACAAGATCTTGCGGAACAGCATTATTCTCTATAGTTTCCACGGCCGGTATTCGTGTTACTGGTCGCTGATTTTCCAGGGCAGCTCGTGCCATTAATTGTTGAGTCATATCATTGCTAATGGTCTGAGCTTTTTTCCATGGAGATGCTAGACTTTTGTTCATTTGAGTATTAGTGAATTCTGATTCCGGTACTAGCACATACGTCTTCATTTTGTTAAAAAGGTGGTCAATAGGGTCCCTAAAACCGGCAAAAGCACTCCCAGAAACCCGCCTTTTTGCTGCAGAAGTTTTCTTTTCTTAGCTCGCGTTACACTTCGGTCAGCCAAGCGCTTGATTGTTCGAACATGGGAACGTGCTTTAGATAATTCTGTTCTACTTAAACCCTTTGGCTGCTTAATAAGGTTTAAACAGGCTTCTTCTACGGCGTTAAGTTGTTTATTGGTAGAAAAATGAAAAAAAGCTCTTTGCTGCCTGGGTGTCATCTGCTGTAGAGCGTTCACTAACATGAGAACCTCTTCAGGCTTCATTTTTCTACGTAGAGTCTTCGGTAGCTGAATATATGTGACTGCAAACGGGCTACATCCGGAGTTTCGGGTCGTAAATTAATTAATAAAAATCCGTACGGTTCCTTTATAGCCTTTTTATAAGCCTCTGCTAGGTGTGGCATGCCGAGCTGCTGTGCTAACGTTTTAACTTGTCGTGAGTCGCGAACAGATTTAAATATTACCATATATTGTGAGTTCAGAGAAATATCACGCATATTTTTCCCTTGTTTATAAAGATTCTGTGAAATAAAGATAACGGAAACATTTTTATGATGTACATCACGCGTAAACAATGTCGACGCTTTGGGTGTTACAGCGATTTCTTCCATAAGATCGTCTAAAATCAGAAGTGTTGCCACATTTCTTTGAAAAAAATCTTCGTCATTTAAAATTTTGTCCATTCCTTGTATAAGTTCTATAGAATTATCGAATGTCAAGAAAACCTCTTGCCATGTGCCGTATGCGTACACGATCCGCATAGGAACTGGAACAAAGTGTTGCGAAACGCTTCTTATAAGTTCTAGAGTGAAAGTCGATTTGCCGGACATAGTTGGTCCAGAAACGTAGATAGAACATGGAGTTTTAAAGCGAAAATCAAAAGTCAGTTTCTGCATTATGAAAACGTCTCCCTTTTCTACGTTTTACCTATGGTAATACCCGTACAGCACACGACAAAAATCTCCAAGATTTTCCAGTGCCGAATTCCTGAAGCGGTGCAAACTCTGCAATTCTACGTTAATAATTGTAGAAGATTTTCTATTGTTTTGTATACTGCCGTCAACTGCGCCACGGAAGTACAGCCCAATAGGACGCAATTTCCAGTATGGAACACATTGACTGTTGCGTTCAGATACTTTAACCTTAATTGAACTGCAGGAAATAGCTCGGGCTCGTAAAAAACTTTGCTTATTTCTTTGAAAGTTTTACTTTTGCTATAAAATGCAACAAGATTAACGGAAGCGTTGTAACGATATGTACTGACAATATTTGCTACAGTACATACCTTAATCTCTAAATCAAAATCGTGTAAACGCAACATGAGTTTATAGAAACTTAATAAATTCTCAGCTTCTTCCACAGACTTACCGCCGTTTATTATGGCCCTACCATTTGCAAATAGCTGACAGAACGACCGTCCCTGCAAACGCAGGTTAACAGCATTAAAATTTTTCATTCTGCTTGCAAAAGTTCCAAACACAGCAGTTAAGGCATCCAGGTCAATTGTTTTATCAAACTTGACGGACAGGATAATGTTGTGGATTTCCATGGCCGCGCTCTTTAATTGTGGCAGAATGAGCATGAACTCTTTATATACCTTTCTTGCCCAGTCTGCCACAAATAAAGGCTTAAGCCTGTTTTTTTTCCAACAATTTCCGTTTGAAACTGTTAAGAAACATGTGAGTAAAAATACAACAAATATTACCTAAATCACCAAAACATTACAACCTTGCAGTAAAAACAGGTACACACAAAGCTACCAATTCTAATAGTACATTTTAATCATCCATGACTTCGCCTTCAGGACCCCAAAAACTGTCTCGCGCTATACCAACAACATCCAGAAATCCTCTGTACGGGATCTGCAACGAGCGACCAGGTTGAGAGAAGCGAATCATCCGACCATATTTAGGATGGATACTGAGGTACAGGTCCAAACAAGCCGGTCCAGCAAGGGTGACCTTTTCCGCCGATTTGCTTGTGATTGATTTGTCAACGGCATCTTGGATGGCTCCTCCTTTTAGCTTATTCAGGACATCCGAAATTTCGGTGCACCCCAAGCGCACACCTTTTCGGAATGCTTCCGCATGATCCTTATATCCGTCCGTTTCTTGGTCGAAAGCTAGAACAAGGCTGACCTTTTTGGTGCTCCAGAACATACTTACAACATTGTTGACCTTGTAGATGGTGTATCCGTTCAGCTCCCCCAAAATCTCCAGAGGGCGTGTAAAGTCCATTTCTTCCAATGTACGCAAATGCTAGTAATACTTAGGTCGGAGGAATAATGAAAGGCAACTGAGTTTGCAACCACTTTTCGCCAGCGTTTTATACTGCCCGATGCGACTCTATCCGAAATATGTGGTGCCATGATTGGTAGAAAAGTCCCTTCCAACTCCGCCTTTTTTCTTAAAACTGCGTTTCTATTCGCTCAGCAAAGCTTGAAGCTGTTTTGCTACCATTGGTCGAAAATAAATTTGTTAAGCTCCGCCGGGTTCTCTCTACACCCTTTACTCGAGTGTGAGAAATGGGCGGAGTCTCGAAACACAGTTCCAACCTTACAGTTAATAAAAGAGCCGCGGCGCTCGGTTTTCATCAGAATTGGAAGTTTTCAATCATTTCGTTACTGCAGTAAAATGGATATGCGTAACGTGCTTAATCGCTTGGCGACATTCAGAGATTCCAACTGGGACTGTACGTTCCTTCCTCCTACGTATCTAGCGTTATCCGGCCTGTTTTACCGAGGAAACGGGGATGAAGTGCAATGCGCGTTTTGCGACGGGGTTATGAGCGGATGGAGTCGAGTTCGGAGTCCAAGACGAAACCACCAGCAGCTCTTTCCCAACTGTCCAATGTCAAAGAGGTTGCCACAACCCATTTCCGCAGAGGATTTCGGTGAAGATGTAGTGGAGGTGTACGCAACAACATCAGTCCCTATCCCCGGGTTTCACCACTACCAAGTGCGCTTTCCCACAATGATGGAATACAAAGCTCGGTTCTCTACTTTTTCCGAATGGCCGGAATCCAAAGCTCAACATCCTCGAGTCATGGCCCAGGCAGGATTCTTTTACACGGGCACCAGTGACCTTGTACAATGCTTTCACTGTGGTCGAGAGCTTGAGAGATGGGTGACTGAGGATGGTGCATGGGAAGAGCATGCTAGAGCATCGCCGATGTGCCCGTTCGTTATTGCTCAAAAGGGAGAACATTTTGTCTATGAAGTCCAGAACAGGCAGGCAATGGAATCGGCAAAAGTTTGCGAAAAAGCAGCGCTAGCATACGCGGCAAGAAAAACTGATAATGACCCCATGGAAAAAGTGCGGTGCAAAGTCTGTTTGGATAAAGAAGTTCAAGTTCTTTTTCGACCATGTAATCATCTGGTGTGCTGTCACACTTGTTCCGATAGATTAATACAGTGTCCGGTATGCAGAACTATGCTGTTTCAAAAAATTCTAATTTTTATGTGCTGATTTATTGTTGATTTGTTCAGTCAGATTTCAAAGAAAAAAAAGAAAAGTAAAATATTTAAGACAACCAAAAAATAAATGAAGCTGAATTTAAAACTGAAAAGCTTTGACCTGACCACAAAAAATATGACACCTTGAGAACAAAGAAGTAAATTAATTTTTGTGTAAACATTTGTTAACTTTAAAAATGAAAAAATGAAGAAATCAATGAAAAAGCAACAAAAAAATAAAAATAGAAAAGCAAAATAAAAAAATGAATAAAAAACATTCGATTATGTTGACAGATATTTCTAGGAAAGGGGAAAAGGGAGGGGAAAAAATAAATCAAAGAAAGGGGAAATGAAGGGAGGGAAAATTAACAAAAGAAAGGGGAAATAATGGGAGGGAGGCTGCCTGACAGCCGATCAGCTCGAGTCATCCGGGTAACAATATTTTGTTCCAAATACTTAAACAAACATAATTTGAAAAGACCTTCGATCACCTATAACACATTTCTCTGTCGTCTGTCTCCATCCTTTTCAACCCTATGTGTTTGCTCTGATGTTCCACCCTGCTGTTCCACACTATTGTTCCACCCTGCTGCTCCTACCTTTGTCCCGCTCGGGTCACTCGGGTGCTCGGGTACAAATACAATATTTCAAATGATAAGCAAATAAACAAAAACAGTAAACATAGCATTGTCATACTGTGTTCTAATCCCTGCTGTTCCACCTTGTTGTTCCATCCTGTTGTTCCACCCTGTTGCTCCACCCTGCTGCTCCTATCTTTGCGTTGCTCGGGTCACTCGAGTACTCGAGTATAAACATAATATTGCAAATTATAAAATAAACAAGTAAATAAACAAATAACTAAAGTAAATACAGAATAAATAATATTATTTATTAATTTTGTTGTGACCACAATCCATTGCTATTTCTTCTCCTGCCGCAGAGGGAACCCTCGTTAATCGAACCTTGGATTCTCTCCCTGGCACCAAAAAAAGACCAACACCCAAGGGTAATGTGAGATTTTGACAGAAACTTACGCGAATGTACACTAGGGAAGTGCACCGCTTTAGGTTGGCACTATAAGATCGAAGCTACTGCTAGGAACAGTAAAGGGGATCCACAGAAAAAGCAATCAGTACGGCTTAGGGCGGAATTCCACCGAGCGAAGTACATTTGCGCGAAAAAATATAGTAAAGCCGGTTGCAAGGAAGTCCTGTCCCGTCTGGCGGAATAAAAGCTTCCAATTGAGGGCTGTATAGTTAGTTGAATTTCGGTTTTGCTATAGCAAACAGGTGAACTGTAGTCAATCCCTAAAACCCTTATGGAGCTCCTTTCGTATATGGTCCCATCCGTTTTCCTTGAGTGGTGAATCGAAAGTCGTCTTCATATTTTTATAGCATGTATCGTAGAGGATGTAGTCGCCGTATGCGGTCTGTACTTTGGCCTTGATATGGTCAGGGCAAAATCGTTGTGTAATGTATTATTTTGTCGTCACTTTCGGCTTCCGTGAACTCTCAATACGAATGCAGGAAATCTTGGCATAATTTCCCATTCTCTAATGTCTAATCTGCAGCTGACGAAGTTGAAATCTTGAGGATGTATTCTTCGGTAACTGTGATTTGTGAGAAATATTTTTTTGGAGAGTAATTTCCATGGTCATCGGCGTCGCGGTAACAGTCACAATCGCGTTGTTTAAATAATTTTTTTGTCAGGTGCATGCACTTGACAAACAAGAATGCCCAAACTTTCAGGGTGTAATTTAGTAATTCAAATTTTTTCTAGTAATACGGTCGAATATGCAGTTTACCTAGCTTCTACGTATACACATTAACTCGTGCAAATGATGCTCGTACATCTTCAACAAGATTAATTAATTTTGTAAGTTTATGTGTATCTGTCGAAGCTTAAGGTGAATTTGCTGGCTAAAATTATTTTAGTATTTTACACTATTTTTCTAACGAAATTTGCCGAATCACGACAATATTCATGATGAACGAGATAAAAGTACATATAACTATCCAGACGTTATCAGTCAGCGCTGAAAGCGATTTGCATGAACCGACATGCAAACCTGTGTATCATATGCGGTTTTTTGTGAATCACTCATCCGAAACATATAGAACTGTCTTTCCATATAAATGTTCTTAATAGGGGCATAGTGGCGTTGTGCACCGGGTGACCGATGACTGTCAGGATCGTAGTCGTCATCTTCTTGGTTGGCCATTTTAGTCCGTGTCTTGCGATAAATTTAGATTGCTCTTTAGGCTCAAACTTTCCTGATTTTGCGAGCATTGATCTTATTTTGTCCGCGGTGTCCAGGCCAAACATTCGGTATTTTAATTTATAGCAGAATGCACGGTTCATCAATTTTTGTAGTTCAATCATTTCGAGATCAAGTTGATAAAACAATTTTCCCATTTCATCCAGAAACTAATTATTAACGTCAAAACCGTCTGTTTCAATTTTTTATTACAATTCCATCCGTTTAATTAATTTATAACCTTCGAGTTTTGTTGATAGTTTCAGATCGTACAGACTACAGAAAGTAATTTTTGCAGATTTGTTGCAGGTACAGATAGTGTTACAATAATATTTTTTGATCGACATCGTTGCGTTGTGCATATTCAGATATAGTTTAGTTTAGTTTGGTTTATTTCGAGCAGACAATGTGAGTGACTGACAAACCCTGAGGCATCACAAGTCTGTTCACAATATAGTGTAGACAAAAAAAAGACTGCAACAAAGCAGCAGCAGAGGTTTACAACAGACTATCTAATTGGAGTATCGATACGTAGAGTTTAACAGAACCACCCACAGCCTAAAAATTCCATCACTACTTTTCAATATTTTAACGCACAAGTCCTTGAGCCTCATTGCAAGGGTCGTCTTTCCAGTGCATCTGCGCGCCATGTTATCGACACGCTCCTTAACACGAAGGGCGTATCGCGTGCTTGTTCCCTTGAAGGGAATCAGGTCGCCATGTACGATGGTATGGGATAGCTTTCCCAGTTTCGTGTCTTGTGTAGCCACACGGCTTCCTTTTGGCGCCATCTGTGTTCTGCCGGCATAGTCGGTTGCTTCCGGTACAGTTCCGGGGTTATCCGAATCCTGTTGCCGGTGATGGTCCGTAATGCCACATGCTGCCGTTTCGTCAACTACTTCCGCTTACCCGAAGACGCCGCTGACCAAACCAGTCCACAGTAATCTATGAATAGCTCAGCAGAAAGGCGTGATAATGGGTAAGGCGCTGGGGGGATGCTGAGTCCGGGATGCGCGCGCTTGATTTTTGACTGCCGTAATTGATGTTCTTTCTTACTTTCTGAAACTGCTTGTGCCAGTTAAAGTTTTCGTCCGCCTCAACCCCCAGGTACGTTACGTGCTGTTTATCAGCGAGTGGCTGAACACGCAGTACCACTGGTGGATTCACATCCGCTGCACTCTTCTAAGTTCTTGTAAACATTGCGGCACATTTGTTGACACTTTCAAAATTGACTGATTGTCTGAAAACTATTCCGATGCTTTCGCCTTCAAAGATCTTATTCTGGTTGACGTTTTCCTGTATTATGTGCTATCTTCGGCATGAGCTGCCTGTGGTTGTTTGAGCCAGTGAATGAAAGCGGATATTTGTTGGTCAGCAGCTATCCGTGCACCGTGCCTATTCTGTCTGTTCAGTTCACGAACTACCTGTCTGACTCTGACCGACAGAACAGCGCAGTAGTGTTGCTCATGCAGGTGCTGATCCAGGATAGCGCATCCCTCGTCCGTTAGCATACTACGGAGTACGGAGCCTGTGATAACGTTATCTAACTAACTCACGTTCAGAGGGAATGAGGTCTAAAGTATATTGCGCCGGACTGCTGGCCTGTTCCGTTATTCCGCTCAATGACTCTGCCACTTTTTGTAAGCTGTGTACTCACCGGTCAGGTACACTGTCTGTGCCTATATCTGCGGCTGCCTTACTCACCACAGGAAGAGAGGTCAGGATAATCTCTGAATGTCATCTGTTGTTGAATGTTCCAGGAGGTGCTGTACACGAGACAATGAAGTCTTATTTGTCAGAGGCAGAGCGTATGTACAGATAGATGATTTTCTGACAAAATGTGGTTTTTTCTTCGCTCTGCTATGGGTAGAGTGAACTGTTCCCTAAGCCTGCGCAGCTCTGAGTTTGATGAACAGTTCAGAAGGGACAGAATCTTCTCTAAAGATTCCGTGGATCTGCTCGAGTGGAACGCTTTTTGTTTTCAGGAAGAAAAGACCTGTCTTTCAGGAAACAGTCACATCGGATGCGAGAATCTTACTAGCACACATTTCTATGTTCTTTATACGAGTACTGCCTATCCCTTTAACTGCAGCGATGACCTTAAACCTGAAATGGAAAATTTTTCTCCCAAAAGCGGATAAATTTTCTCGTTGGTTTCCGATCTGTTTCTTTATTTCCAGATCAGCCACCAATCAGTTAAATTGAATGCAGTAGCTGCACAGGAACTCAGTAATCGATAATTCTACAAATTTGGTCACCCTTCCCTTTTATTGCCTTGCATTTTGCGTTTTTTTAGAAAGCAAATTATCCGACAGCAGTTTATAATCTACTTAAAAACCCAGCTGGGCCACTAACACCAGTTACACCACTATCGCCCGTTGTCTCCCGTTTGGTCAGTCCATCACTTTCCATGTACTTTGTAATTTGTATATGTTGCATATCTATATTCTTTCAGTGTGCATGTGCTGATCAAACAGGGATATAACGGCAGTTGAGCACTACAGAGTGACACTGAGTGACACTGAGAGTGACACAAAAGTGATGTCTGTTACAGAGTGAAACTGTAACAGACATCACTTTTCCCATGCTACATTTAATCCATTTAAATTAAATATTAAGAACAAAAAAATTTCATTGTGTGTTTTTGTACGCTTTTCGTTCTTTTCTAAAATTTTAAATTAATTCAGCAAAAGCCACTACACATTCCAGCGAAGTGTGGTCAGTTTTCAAAATTCATATTTATCCGCCGCAAGCACATATTCCTTTTTTGTATACGGCTGAATTATATGGATTTTTAATACCCTCG